GTTATTTTGAAAGTGGTTTATATATCAAAATCTTGAGAATTTTCCAGTTTAGGTGTCAGATTTGGCAAAAGTGAAGTTGTTGAAATTGGAATATGCAAAAGATGGTGGTGTGGTGATACATGGATGGATTGTGAATCCGATAAAATGAACACTATAGCTCGTCAGAGGAATTCCCATGTTCAAAGGGGTACTGATTTGGAAAGTAGAGGTGGAAATACAACTTTTGGTGTTTTGATTGGTGCTCTAGAGCTACTTTTTGGAAAGTTGTGATACAAAGTTTGAAACCCGTGAATCAGCATTTCAAGTGTTTTTTGGAAAATATTGTTAAGCGGATCGTGCAATTCAATGGAATCTTCAGCTTCTCAAGGTAGTCAAATGGCTAGAGTTTCACTTGGTGGTGGATTTTTGCTGATATGTGGCGTTTTGAAGAAATGTGATACCAAAGAAGTCACGAAGACAGTGTTTTCGGGGTGTTTGGGTACCATGGAAGGTGAAATATTTTGATGAGCAGAGAGCTATGAAGCTCAGGCTGTCATGGACGAGCAAATCAGATCTATGAGCTGTAAGCTTTAAATAAAACCTTTGATTAATTGAACTACGTTTGGTCACTTTCGAGCAATCACGAAGCTTGTAGCATTATAATTGATATAACTTACTTTTTGAGTGTAAATTAAACATCGGTTAATAATTAAATATTTTCAAATTTCCTTATAGTATTAAGGCACTAACACTAGCACCAGCGTCGTTAGTAGACGTCTGATCAGCTCAGAATTCCGTGTCGATTATTGTTCTTTGTAGTCTGCTAGGTTTTCGCGACTGAAATTATCTGGTGAAATAAAAAAAAACGGCCTACCCACTCGAAATTGTCATTTTCAAGCAAAATTATTGGACATAATATGAGAGAGTTCATATACTTTAAAATATTTCATAATTTATAAAACTGAATTCTCTATTAAGTTAATCAACTTTTAGGCTGTTTTGAGAAAAATTTCATGAACAGTAATGTTTTACCCTTATTTGTATGATATATTTAAGATAGGTACGTCGTTAAAAGTTTTGAAATTTCATAAACCAAAAAAAAAGTTGAAATATACCAAAATTTATAGAACTAGATTAGATATAGAAGCTTAATGACTATATATACAGTTTCTTTATATTTGTGTCATATGATTTTGTTTCGTTATTTGCGCTAGAAAATTTAGTCATGTGACCAAACCGCTTAATAGTACCAAATGGCTCTCGCTGCTCCAATTTTGTGAGTGGGGAAAATTTAGTAGCCTATATATTGTATTTCAACTTTTTTGTCTAATTTTCTGGTTTATTGTAACATAGAATTACATTTAAACTGTTGCTTCCAATATTGCCTAATGTCATCGCGCATTACCATTTTGGGCCAAAACGCCGGCTTGGGTAAATTTTGTGACACAAAAACAAAAACATAGATAACATAGAAAACATATACAACAAATTTACACAAGTTGTTTTGTACCCAATTATACACATTCCATTAAAGGCAAGCACCCTCAGCTACATATCATTCAAACTGCCGGTAATTTGGTTCTTTCAAAGGATGGTTATCATTTGTGATGCTGCTGGACTTCAAGAGATGTATTAGGTTTACCAAGGATCAGTTCTATCATTCAACAGCTCCAACTTCCTAAGAATCAGACTAAATTAGTGTGTTATCAGAGTGCCAAATGAACCATATTTACCCATCAATACTTTAATTAGTTCAGCTGTCTGAATGAGATGACCAAATGCAAAATGTGAATTGAAACTTTACAAAGATGCCGAATACCGTTTTCTTTTGATCATGAATGGACTTGTGAAACTTACGACTATGATTATACTGTTATCAAATGACTCACGTTCTTGGTAAATGACTCCTGGTTTTAATGGCATGGATGATGATACCAAAAGGCTAATACCTCATTTGATTCTCGTTTCTTGTAATGGCGACTGGCGTAGTTTACATAAATCCTGATTGTAGTGTATTTCGAATCTCGAATACTTTGTAAAATGATGTAGTTTACTAGGGCCTAACTAGGCTGCCTGGTCGATCTTGCAACCTATAACCAAACAACAGGTTTTGCGTTTCGTTTTTCGATCTTCTCAGTTACAAGCTCAACAACGTGCTACAGACAGTCAACTAACTAAAATATAAATGATATGTGGTATAATTCATAGAAAATGTAAAGTGTAAATAGTATACAAGTCAGTAACACATTACAAAATCAAACCTTTATAGTGTAAGATCAAATCAGCAGAATCGAGCGCAATTAATTACCGTTGACGCAAAGTTACGCCAATTGACGTACTAAATGGGGAAATTGCGCCTACTGGATATTTCGCAAATTGCGTTTTTGTGTTTTTATTGTAATGTTTTGTTTTTGTGCTACAACAATTTAATTTGTATTTAATCAATCGAATTCACTTTTGAACCAATGAAATGTCATTTGTCTTGAATACACTCATAGCACCAAATGACATTGTTGGTATCGTCTACGCAAAGCTGGTTGGAAACACTGAGTTTTTAGTCGTTGGCAAATCAAGTTGTATTGAGATATATTCCTTGCAAGGTGATCAACTAAAGCTGGAGAGAGCTATAGATCTGTATGATAATGTTTCAGATATTACAACAATCAAGTTATTCAAGTCTCAAAATGTGTTCTTAGTTGTTACTACAGGTTCAAGCAAGGTTTTTGTCATTGGGTTTGAGACATTACAGAAAGAGGTCTTGTTGGAGGTTTTTGATTTGAATACTGATGGTCATGATGGTACATTTTCAATTCAATCCAACACTCTGGTGGTGAATCAAAGGGACTCTTTGGTAGGGTACTTTACATTAGAAGGCATGGCGTGGTTTCATGAGATTGATGAAAGGATTTCGGAGATGGAGCTACAAGAATTTATACAACTGAAGAAAAAGAAGAAGAAATCATTATTTAAAAAGCCATTAGTAATGTCATTCCCCAAAAATGGAAGAGAAGCAAGGACACCAATGATAGTTGAGAAATTGAGTACATATGATGATGGAGACGAACCATTTATATTAGTTCTATACAGAGATGATCTATTTAACTACTATTTGAAAACTTTTATCAAGAAGGAGAATTCCTTGTTATTTCTGTCAAACCTTCAACTGGAAGAAGAGATCAAACCAATTTTGTTGAGCAGCACCATTGGATGCTTTGTGTTTGGTAAATCTGGGATATATTTAAAAACAGCTCCATATTACAATGCTGTTTCTCTATCCACAGTGCTTGATGCAGTTGAAGATACATCATTGGTCATCGACCACAACCATTCAAAGCAGTGTTGTCTGAAAAAAATGCTCCCAAAAGGTCATAGTTGGAATACCACTGCGGCTGTTTTTTTTGAAGGGAGTGATTCTGGTTCAATCAAGTTGGTGTTCATGTCCAACACGAATGAACTTTTCGTTTCTGAATTGCAAACGGATCTGGATCCTATTAAAGGTGAGCTTGTAATTAATTGTTGGAAAGTTGATAAATATGCTGGTGACTTAGACTCCTCCAAGATCATTACGCAGATGTGCTCTGATGTTTTTGCCTTGCACGGTCCAACTTCTTTTAGAGTTATCAGGCTAGACATAAAGAGAAAATCTTTTAAAGATCTTGATAGGAAAAAGTATATTTCTCCAATTCTTGATTTCAACATCTCTGGAACAGCATTACCAAAGATTCAAGTTTGCGGAGGAAGTGGATTAGGATCTGGTTACATCAATACGGAGTTTAAAGGATATAATGCTAAGCTCAGTAAAATTGGAAGGAAATTGCCAATAGAAACTGGTGTGCTGAATCTATGGATTTTTGATGACCACTTTGTTTTCAATTTATTTGACGCTGTTCGAATTTTCAAACTGGATCAAACTGGTTTCACGGAGGTTGATGATTTCCATGGTTTGAAAGAAGTTGATGGGAATCTTTTAGATTTGTCTTTATTTCATAATGAGTTGCTGATTGTTACAGAACGGGGTGTGTTTATTAACGGAAAAACTAGGTTCAACAGTGATATTAGTTTGGGTCATGTTGACAAGACTGGTAATATAACCTTTGTTTCAGGTAACACATTGATACACAAAAATGATAAACATTTAATATCCGATGATGCATCAACAATATATGCACTGAAACTGAACAAAGAAACCCATATAATGGTCGGTAATTGGGATGGATCAGTTTTACTGTTCGTTAATGGGAAGAAAAAGATTCTTAGAAAATCTCTGTTTGCAGTCAATTCTGTTTTGATCAAAAAGATTGGCAACTCCGTATGCTATATAACAGGTGACGCATCTGGTACCATTGGAATTAGCGTGGGTACCTCAACTGTTGACCTTAACATAGGTGATGCCCCTGTAACTTTGGTTGATTACACAGAGTTTTCGTTTCTTGCCTACAATGCTGAAAATGTGGTGAAGATAGAGCTTGATGAGATTGGAAACATTGTAAATCGGGGCTATTTGAACATTGGAGCTCCATATTTTATCAAATACCATTCCATTGATCAAAAACTAATTTGTTTTGAAAATGGTTACTTGAAGGAGATAGTTGTGAGCAATAATGAACTCAGTATATTGACAAATGAAACGTCGTTTCCCAAATTAGTTAGAAGAGCTGTCAAGTTTAAAAACTTTCTTCATTTGAGTTTGTTTGCATTGACCGGTTTCAGTTATGATAAGGTCAAGGGCCGAGAGGTTTGGAATTCAGAGTTACATGTTATTGACAATAATAATTTTGAAACCAAATTTGTTCATAAATTTGATCCTGGGATTGAAATCACCGATGTTGTTAACACTCAATATCACAAAGAACTTATTGATACATATGAAGAGGAGAACATTGGACTGGGTATGGAGAACGTGTTATCACAGTGTTTTGTTGTGTCGTGTGCTTACGGCTCTCAAGATGAACATGGTCCACCGTTGATGTTATTTTCAATTGACGAGCTTGGTCATTTACAATACCAATGCTCTTGTCCCAACATCAATGTCACATTTCAAAGCTTAACAAACCATGCTAATAGAATGATTATAGCCTCTGGTGATTCTGTGATTGCTTACAAAATTGAATATTCTATTGCTGATTCTAAGTTTTCATTGAAGAGAGTTTCTGATTCTTATCGCACTCGATATTTCACTTCTCATATTGAGTCTGTTGGTCCAGACATCATTGTTGGTGATTTATTAAAGGGAATATCGAGGCTTGAAATGAAGGTCAAGAAAGATATAGTTGGTGATGATGATTCAATTTTTAAATTTGAAGAAAGCTCTAAGGAAATGGAAAACATCCATTTTTTGACTGCGTTGGAGACATTTGAAAATACTGTTGTTACTGCAGATTCATTGAAAAATATAAAGGTTCATTATTTATCGGAGGATTCTAGTATTGTTGTCTCACAATTCAATATTGACGATCAGATCAATGTTATCAGAAAAATTGGCAATAACAGTTTGAATAGGGAGACATTTTCACAATTATTCAATGGTAATATTGAAGTAAACGGTCTTGAAGATATAGTGAATCTTTTTGTCTTGGGGTCTGTGAATGGTGGGTTTTATATTTTGAGTTTGATAACTGCAAGTGATGTGAACACAATATTAGAAAAATCACAAGAGACTATTGTTAGAGAATTGAAACCTATTTTATCCACAGAGCAAGATGAAGAAACGAAATTGGCTTCATTTATTGCCTTTAAATCGGTGAAAGGGTCTAAAAAGTGTTATGATAAAGCTCCGTTTGGTTTTATTGATGGTGATTTAATAAAGAGGTATGATAAGGGTCTTGGAGGTGAAATCATATCATCAAAATGTGTATTACTTTAGCTACAATTTTTGATTTAATGAATGAGCATGAAAAATTAATATCAACTTATTGATGTTATGTTATTGTATATTATACAAATGAATGAAAAATTATTGTAGTGCTGATTAGATTAATAAAGTTTCAATCTTGTCTTTAACAGCATAAATTTGGTTTTTCAAAGTTGAACCTTCATTAGTAGTGATTGAAGCAGCGATAACTGGTCTTGAAACACCACAAGCTCTACCTAAAGCAGTTTTAGATGGGACGAAAACGTATGGAACGTTTTTATCTTCACATAATAAAGGTAAATGTAACATAATTTCAATTGGTTCAGTGTCAGCAGCCATGATGATGAATTCAGAGATACCTCTGTTCAAAGTTTTGGTAGCTTCATTGGCACCTTTTTTCAATTGACGCAAGTTTTGAGCTTGTTGAGTAACATCAAGGATTTGTTGAGTTAAAGCAGAATCAGCTAATGGGAAAGCTTTTGGATTTGGAGCAGACATTTTTTTAATAATTTGGTAAAACTTGAATACAAATAGTTGTTGTTGTTATTGACAGTAGTGGGGGTTTAAAAAGAGGTTCCTTGCAAAAATAGCACTTTCTTTCTTTCAAATAGCTCGCCTCTAATGAGATATTGATCTGAAGAAAGGGAAAAGAAGTTGAAGGTAGAAGCTCATCTCTATAAATTTTTCTTTTTTCATATTGGCACATAGAAAAAAAATTTTCCATGGTGTGTCTCGAACCAGATATGAATTATTACCCTGCTATACTGACTTTATAGAAATGAGAATACGATTAAACTTCCCGATTAGGAAGTCTACAGGATGGAATTTGTACAATTCGTGAGAAACTCGATATAATACCCAAGAACCAAGGGAAAACTAATAATACTATATCATAATCACTTTTCTTACTAAAATCCCTTCATTTTCACCTCAATTCCCTTAAAAATACCATTGTTTTATTGCAAAAGTTCGCATCCATTTTCTGTCGAGACCCGGGTAAATTTCGAGATGTTAATTTGACTGCCTCCCTTTTTAAATCAACATTTTTTTTGAATTTGAGTGTATTTCAGGATTCAACTACTACAAAGTCGTATATTTGAACTACAATTAGTCTATTAAATCATATTCACAGAGTTACTTCACGATGTCTTCTGATCTTTGGTATGTTGCCTTGAGAGAGAATCTTGATGGGATCGATTGTGGTTGAGAAGCAATTGGTTGTTGATGAATTGGCAATGCGATTATTTGTTATCATTGAAGGGACATAAGTGTCGAGATGTTTCACCAAAAGCACTGGAATTTGGCACTTTATTGAGTCCTGGTACAAAGAGTAATGATAATGGAGGCGAATACACCCCATTGAGTCTTTTAATCGATACAATTGCTTTGATTCTAGTTGTTCATCGTTTATCTCCAGAAGATAAGGTGCCACGTTCAACCACAATTCATCTCATGATAGATTTACTTCATTTGAATCATTTTTCCTAACATTAGTATTATAGTCCAGTTTATGCCGTATGTCCTCCTTGAAACGTATTAGCTTTCGTCTTACTAACTCTCCATTTTAGCCATTCTTTGGTTCTATAGGTTGTGCTTCCGCCATCATCTTTACATGTTTTGGTGCTGCTTACGGTACTGCTAAATCAGGTGTTGGTATCTGTGCCACCTCTGTTTTAAGACCAGATCTTTTAGTTAAAAACATTGTCCCAGTTATTATGGCTGGTATTATTGCTATTTATGGTTTAGTTGTTTCTGTTTTAGTTTCAGATTCTTTAAAACAAACACAAGCTTTATACACTGGTTTCATCCAATTAGGTGCTGGTTTATCTGTTGGTTTATCAGGTTTAGCTGCCGGTTTCGCCATTGGTATTGTTGGTGATGCTGGTGTTCGTGGTACTGCTCAACAACCAAGATTATTTGTTGGTATGATTTTGATTTTAATTTTTGCTGAAGTTTTAGGTCTTTATGGGTTGATTGTTGCCTTATTATTGAACTCTCGTGCCAACCAAGATGTTGTTTGTTAATTGAACTTCATTAATTAGAATGAGATTAATCAAAAATTCATCATCTCTACCCACCTTCACACCTATCCAAAAAATATCTTCATATTATAGAAAAAGTGGAAACAATAAAAATTTGATCACCTGGTTGACCCAATAGTTTCTAATGTAATTTTTTTTGTTTTATTATTACTATCATTAATACAATTCAAAAAAATCTTCTATATAATTATTATTTTCATTTTTTATCTTTAATCGTCACTTTAAACTTTATTGTAGAGATGTATACACATACATGAGTTAGTTATAACTCTCTTCCATGAATGATCTACCTATTTCAACAGCAATATTTCTTCTCACTAATCTTAACAAAAGTGTTAAATCTGAAGGAATTGGAATCTCTGTTTCTTTTAACTGTTTAACCCAAAAACTTTCTGGTTTGTGTTTCAGCTTAGTTTCATCAACTGATATTTTGTATAAATGATTAGCTTCTTTTAAAACTTTTAATGATTTTTTACCCTTTTGATTTATAAATTGTTCATCAAATTCATCTAAAATCTTGACAACTGTTAATAACTCATTTTTGGATAAAACTTTTGGAGGCGTTAAAAAGATTATAAATGGTAAAATTTGGGAAATTAATAAACCAAATAATCTTGGAGGTAAATGTGGGAATTTCAACAATGATATTAATCTATTCAATGCCAAATTTAACGAACCTTCTTTCTTTAATTTCCAAAACTGGTACAAAATAGCATATGGTGCTAATAGTTGACGTAAAACAGGTGAAAGTTTTAAAGTTTCAGGATCAATATCTTGTATCACGATTGAATCATCAACAACTGCATTTATAATAATATCATCAATAGGTTCACCACGGATTAAAGAACTTTCAAAAATTAACCAACAATGATGTTTAACAAACTCAATCTCACCAGCACGTGCAAATAATGTTAGGGCTTCTAATAATAATCCATTACTTAATGATCTTTGTGCAGCAATTCTGAATATAACGTGTGCAATTTGTGGTAGTTTCAAACTAGCACATATAGTTAAAGCCCATTCAATATCATCATTTGTTTTGAAATTATATTTTGGTACATATTCAGCAATAACACTTCTTGCTGTTGGATTTCTTGATAATGCTAAAAGACCAATCCCCACAGGGATTAATGCCTCCACAGCTAAACAATCTAGAGCATGTCCATGTAACAAGAATTCAGAAACATTCCTTGTTGAAAATAAATCTTGATCTAATAATGATGCAAATGTTGACGAGATTTTACCATTTTCATCTTCATCTAATGAATAACCTCTTAATAAACCTTTAGCTTCACATAATGCAGAGACGTAAGCAGCTGTAGCTGTATTGAAAGAACTTAAAGATCTTAATACTTGGAGGAAATTACCTTCAAAGATATCAACACTTGCCACTTCCCAAACAACAGTTCTATCTGGTTGATGATGTTGTAACACATCTTGGAAATATTCATTCAATAACTCAGCAGATGGAATATGATAATAAATCAACCCAACTAATGCTTCATACCAAGTGTCTGAACTATCCAAAATAGCTGATTTATTACCTGCCAATATGCTGAAAAGGGTCTTGATGCTTTTAGTTAGTTCTGTGTTATTAGAGTTCCTTATTGAGGCATTAGAAGCAGCAGTAGCTGCAGCTTTTTTCCATTGTTTGAAAATATCAGGACTTGCTTGATTTGGGTAATTTCTTAATAAATTTTCAGCATCAGTAAAGAGGTTGAATAGATTTATATCCGTTTTGGACAAGTCTTGATAATTTGAACTTTTGATAGCTTCTGATGCATTTTGATATAAACCTCTGAGAACTAATTGGTTAACAAATTTCCAGAAAAATGGATGTTCATAAGGTTTAGCAGAGTTCATTATGGATTCACTTAATTCCAAACTTGGTTGAGGGTCAGCTCTATTGACCCAATTGGATAATAATGTTGGGACTTCATAATCTTCCGCAAAATAAACAGCTTTCAAACAGTTCAATATAAATAAACATTCCTCTAATTCAAAGATACTAGCGTCTGAATCTTCTTGATCTTGTTTGCGTTCAATGTATAGTTCTAATTCTTTTATAGTTAATGACATTGCCTTATTCAACACCTCTGTTTGCTCTTTCTGAGCATTCTTTTTAATCAACCCTATTGTTGCGACTGAGTAATATCTTTCATCTCCCAATGCTTCATATATGCTGTATAAACTTGAAATATAATCAGTGTAAAGTGGAGATGAATCGAATTGAGGGATTGTAGCTGGATATAGTTTAGTTTCTTGAGGGAAAACCTTGATTTCCTTGTCACTAGTTGGATCTTGTGAAATGAATCCAACACCATTTATACCATTTGGATTCAATTTGAACTTGAGTATTCTCGAGGTTTTGCTCCATTGCTCAACACCACCTGCCCCAATTGGCGCATCATCAAATCTCTTCAGCAACACATTGGATACTGGGTCCAATTCTTGATCTAGTTCAGAGTCTTCATCTTGATCACTTTCGTCATCGACAAAGTCGAATGTTTCATCCATTAAATCAACATCATTAACCTGGGGATTCACCATGGAGTCATCTTGATGGATCTGAAATGCCATTATTCACCACCAAAATCTCTTGAAACTGAGCTTTGAACTTTTAAAAGTTTTGATGTTTTCTTTCAAAAGTGTAAACAATTCGATCGATCTCAAATTTTTGGCATTTTGCGGGTAAAGTTCGCGAAAATGATAGTAGTAAAAAAAATTATCGTGAAGCTCATCTCATCAGTAAAAATTGGCTGAATCAGGTTTAAAACCAGGGATTAAAAAGGGTATAATGGCTCAGGTAAGTGTTATAGAATTGAAGATACTTGTGTGAGAACTGTATGCTAACATGAGGTTTTCTCAATAGAAAGAGTGGTCAGCTGAAGGGATCACCAGATTCTTGAGATCCAAAGATACATCCATTGAAGATATAATCCAAGTTTCAAACGATTTATTGGATGATAAGCTGGATGTTTACTTGCCCAATAAAGTTATTTTTGTATTCGAATTACTGTGTGATAGGTTAGGTGACAATAAATACAAGAAATATAGAGTGAATCCTGAGATATGGTTACTTTTCAACAAAACATGGACATTATTGGATTCTCAACCAAAGATTAGAAATCGTACTTTCCAAGGGTTAAGGTTCGGTGAAGCACTAGCATCTGCATTAAGTCATACTGAAAGTTCCAAGCAATTTTTGGAAACCATCACAACTACAATCAATTTTGTCAGATTCAATTCAGTAATCAGTAATAATGTATTTGACTTCTCACTAGACATATTGACTCAATACTTGGAATTATTGAACAAACTTTCAGATGAGCTAGAAGAAGAAGAAGTTTCTATAAAAGTCAATGGGATATCTTCATTTCTACAATCAATAATAAGTACAGAAAAGACATCTAAGAAATTCACAACTAATTTTGCATCAACTTCATTACCATCAATATTGAGATTGTCAGAAAAAAGACAACAACAATACCCACAATTGTTAGCATTGATCAAGAAAATATTATTGTCCAAAGAGCAACAAGAATCATTAATACCGAATTTGGTATCACTCATAAATACGAAACCTTCAACAGGCGCCATTGTTAATTATTATAGAATCATCATTGACACAATTTCCAAGAATGACATTGAATCCGCTGAAAAGATGTTTACTTTAATTACAGAAAAGCACCCAACTGCATCTGAGCAATTATTAGGATATCTTTCAAGCATCAAAAGAACTTTATCCCAAACATTTCTGGATACTATTATTGACAAGGAGTTTTCAAATAATCAACAAAATTGGAACCTGGTATCTTCTGTTGTGCAATTGGATATTGAAATTGGTATCAAGAATTCAGAAAAGATAATGACAAGTCTCGAGGAACAAGTTTATGAAGAGGATTTGAAACTTGGTGAACAGCTAGTGAACTCTTTCATAAGAGCTAGAGAACTTGTGAACTTCTTTGAATTATGGCTAAAGGTGATCAAAGCTAATCCAACTTCAAGATGGTTGAAATCGGAATTCACTGAAGTTGTCTCTCATAATATTCATGTTTTATCATTTTCACAATTAAAGACCTTGATTGATCTTTTGTTATCATCTGATGTTGATGTTGCAGAACTCACTTTATTAAATACTGTGGTTCAAGGTTTGTTCAAAACTCAAGATACAGTACTTGTGCAACAAGCCAGAGAATTATTCAGTCCAATTTGGAGCATTAACCAAGACCAGGATCAATTGTGGTATCTTAAATTCCAACTTTTATGTCTTTATGAAGATATTTTGGACTCTAGTGGATTTGAAAAAATTATCAAGGATTCAAAATCTCCAAAAAATATTAATCATTATTATACATTGTTCCGTACTAGAGAAATTTTTGAATATGATATTTCACCACTTGCACCAAAATTTCTAAGTTTCTTGAAGAAATCAAAACTAACATCTGAAATCTTGCAAACTGTATTCACTCGTTGGTTTGTGCTTGTAAACTTGTTATTTACAAGTGAACAAATTGAGCAGATTGTTGATTTATTACTATCTGATGTGAATTCTGCATCAAAGATATTTGAAAATGATTTATTATTTGAACAACAAAAGATTACAGAAACTTTAATCAATCAAATCAGTTCTTCTTTCAGCGATAAGAAAGCTGATAAATCATTTAAGATCCAAGTTTTGCAATTGATTCCAATACAATGTTATCCAAGAAGATTAAAATCATTGATACTTGATCAATTAGTTGACGAAGTTTTAAGCAAGCATTCATCAAACAAGCAAATTATCCTTGAAACAATTCAACACATTTTACAAACACCTACATTCAGATCAAAGATTGAATCAGACATTTCAACAATTTACAAAATTGTGGACACTTTCCCAGAAACCAACCTTTTTGAAAAAATATGGCCTCATTACATTCAACAAATCAAAGAAACAACAAGTCAGGATTTCATAAGTTCTATAATTGATCATGTTACTCAATCATTTTCTCAAAACAAGAGTAATAAACTTTCTTCATCTTTTTACATTGGATTCACAATTTTGTCAAACCCTCCATGCACTGATGCTTCCAATGTATTGGAATTGAAATCTGCATTTGTCAATGCATCCAAGAGGTTATTAAATTCATTCATTGATAAGTCCAAAGGTAAAAATTCAGAAATATCATGGTTATTAAATGTCTTGTACCAATTAAACCTAAGTATTGAAGATTTCAAGTTGTTGAAACCATCAATTCAAAATTTCGGTAAGCAATTGACAGAGGGTGATAATGTCGCAAAAACAAATATTTTCTTGTTGTTTTCAAAATTTCCACAAACTGGTGATTTTGCCATTGAATATTTTGAAGCTTTATACATTGTCCTAAGGGATTCAGGGATCTCCAGTGAAGAATTGTTGAAAGGTTTAGGAAATGTTGTATCTTCATTAACCCAAGAGGAATTTTCAAAATCTTTTAAAGTATTGATTGAATCATTCAATGATAATAGTGACAATTCATTATACTTTGTTGAAATCTTGTCAATTTACTGGAAATTCTTCCAACGTGATTCACCAGATTCAATTAAATTCTTCATCAATTCCCTTTCAACTGTTTTACTCAATTTCCATAAAATTTCTCATTCACAAGGTTTAATCCACATTTTAAACTCCATCAAATCATTACTCGTTGAGAAAACATGGATCATCACACAATATGGATTAGAATTAATCATAACGTTATTATCCAAAACTGCAGATTCACTACTCATTTCCAACAACATCCATAGTGAAGAAATTTACCAATCCCTCACAACTACACTATCCACCATATTATTGATCCAGAGATACAGATTGTCAAATCGTCATCATCTAATCATTTCACTATTCAAATCATTATTAGCATGTTTATCAAAACGTCAACATAATGGGGTCTTATCCAGTTCCATCAATGCAGGTGAGAAGTTTGCAAGAGTATTGACAAATCTATGTGAACCTAGCCAACATAGTTTCAAAGAAGCTTCTAATGGATTAAACTCTTCAACTTCATTGGCCAAGAAGGCTCTTAGAAAGCATTTAGCAGTGTTGTTATTATCCTATATCTATTTTGCACTGAAGTATTCGTTTGATTCACATGTTAGAGAGGCTATATTACCTGGTGTGTTCAGTATGTTTGATGTGTTGTCACAGGATGAATTGGTTCTTGTTAGTACTTCGTTAGATTATTCAGGGAGAACTTATTATAGATCGTTATATGATGATTACAAAAAAATTGGGAAATGGAAAACAGATTGAATAAAGTGTTTATTGTTGATCTAGTTGAGTATAACGACCTCTTGAAGATGTTAATTTTATAATGATTCTTTGGTAGAACGTTGTGATTATTTGATCAATATGTTGGATCTTGTCCCAGATTAAATCATCTTTCTGGAACTTCAATTCATTTGTATCTTCATGATGATGTGAATGATGTAAATAGTATTCATATTTTAGGATGTCCTTTCTTGTAATCAAACCTTGTAGTAAACCTTCATGTTGGACTAGTATACATTTCGGTCCAACTTTATGGAAAACATCCAGCACTGTTTCTAATGGAGTGCCCAATTCCACAGATATTGGTGCTTCATTTATATAATGACTGAAATCTAGACAGTTTGTTTTATTTGAAGGAGTGAATTTGCATGGTATATCTGGTGATGATGATGATTTATCTAAAACTGCAATTATTTCATCTCTTCCAATTGTTCCCTTAATCAATGGATTTTGCAAACTTTGAATTATGGGGAAAGTTTGGAAGTCAGTATCGGAAATGATAATCCTCAAATTTTCCAAAGTCAACCCAGTTTCAGGCAACGAAGCAGTCTTCACACACATTGCATCATCAACAGGATGTTCAAAAAAATCATGATCTTCATGAGGATCAATGAATGGCAACCCATTGAAAACAATCATTTGATCAGCAATCCCACCTTTCCCATACTTATCATTAATGATCTTTGTCACAGCGACTGTAATCATTGTTGGAATGATATATTTCAAAGCACCAGTCAATTCGAACATAATCACCACAACGGTGACAGTCAAATGAGTGATCCCACTTAGAGCAGCACCTGCACCCAAGAATGCATAAGTCCCCGGCGTGATACATTTTGAATTATCAGCAAGACAACCAGTTGTGAAGTATTTTGAATTGGGGAAATTCTTGTGGGCAATTTGAACCAATATACCCAGGGCTCTACCGAATGTTGCTCCACAGGCCATTGATGGGACAAATATACCAGCTGGGACTTTACAACCATAAGTTAGGATGATTAAAACCATTCTAATGATTGTTGCCAAGATCAGGGTTGTTAAAGTGTTGAAGATTTTATAATTTGTGGAAAGGTTGCAAATTTTATGATTTTCAAAAGAATCATTACAAGCTTCAAATAATATTTGCATGCCTTCAGTCATATCCAATTTTAAAAAATCATTAAAATATGAAATGACAGATGTTATTAAAGCTAATGTGAGGACTTCCTTCATTGCGAAATTTGTAAGGAATTTCCTTCTGAAACTAACCGTCTTGATATTGAATTTACTAATTAGGATACCGTATCCACCTCCAAATAATCCCAAGATTATAAAGAATGGGATCTCTAAGAAATGCCAATCCTGATCATAAGAAACTTCAAACATAACGACTTGCCCAGTTCTGAAAGGATTCATCAATTTCAATATGAACACTGCAACTAATGAACAATAATAAGATTCCCACATTGTTGACAACTTAAACATGTTTGAAATCTCCTCAATGGAGAACAAGACACCACCCATTGGACTACCAAACGCAACAGCAACACCAGCAGCACTTGAAGCAACCAATATGTTTTTAAAAGTCAAGGATGAACTTGTCTTTGAAGATTCACGTCTTAGCAAGATTTTGGAGATAATACTCCCCACACAAACAGCATAATGAACAGAGGGACCTTCTTTACCCACACTTAGCCCGGAAGCAATGGCCAAGGGTAGCCCAATTGCCTTGATTATAAAAGTCCAAGTGTTTAAAAACCCACTCAGGGTGAAGCCTGAGACTATGCATTTGATCTCTGAGATTCCTGAACCAGCAGCAGCAGGCGCATAGTGTAGCACTAACGAACAAGCAATAAACCCCAGTGTTAACGAAATGGAAATGAACATTATATAGTTGAATGGTGCAAAAGATGAATATTCCACCCAATTGGAACATTGAGATTCGTTTAATTCACCCCAGCAGCAGAAATTCCTATTTAGATAGAAATGTGAAGAACAATAACCGGTTCGTAAGTTTGATAGATATTCAGTAACGATGTTCAAACTCCCAGCGACAACACCGATAGTTATACCGACCAGCGTGAGTATGATATAGGTCTGTAAGGATTGGTATATCTTCAATAGTTTGAAGTTTGATTGTGTTTTCTGTAGGAATAGTTTTCTTTTATTACTCTGTAGGTTGTCATTGACCCAGTCTATGGTTTTGAAGTCGTTGAACTTTGCCAGCTGGGGGATGTTGGAGTCCCATGGCACTGAGTCGCCAGTAACATCTATCTGGTCCAGTTCTAGTTGGAAGGACGAGCTGCTGTGTGTCATTGAGGCATGTTTTGGTGATGTTGTTGATACGTTGCAATTCGCGAAATGCTGATTTTCATTTTCTGATTTTCTGATTTTTAAAAGTTGTTTTGTTTCTTGACCCTTGAGATATCGAAATACGTACAAAAAGTTTGATCAAAAAGTGCACTTTTCTCAATTACACAGGACTTTAACTAAGCTAATTGCTAATTGCATGAAAGCTATTGAGCAGTAATAGAAGCTCAAGTGAGTACTACTGAAGAAGATAATGGTGATCTGTATTCATCAATACTCTTTACTGGCTATTCACGATCAAATGGATTCAATACTTGGTTTAATTCTCTGTTTTAATCAAAAAGGATTCCAACTATAAGAAATACACAATAATTTTACACATTCTAATCACCAAGTCGTAATCAATTAGTACTGATAATATACTCTCACCACAAGCTCCTGGTAGAACCCAAATTTGTTAGGGATTTTTTTTTTCGCACACAAAAAAAAAGAATCAACTTGAAATCCCGTGAGAAAATGACAGATCCCCGATAAAAAATGACAGATTTTGGTTGGGAGGATCAAAAAAGCCAAAAAATCTGAAAAGTGCTGATATTTTTTCAAAAATCTAAAAAAAATGACTAAGACCTGAGATTCTAACGCGAGTTTGCCAAATGGTTTCCAGGATATCTCAACGCCAACGTTTCCATATTATGAGTGACTGCTTGGGATGAGCACTGCATTGGCTTAGGTTATGAATGATTGAAGTTTGTTTCATTTTGGAGCCGTGAATGTCCTTAACTTTGGCGTTTTAGTTGAAAAGTTGGTGCTAAAGTTTTGACAATTTAGTACAAAATCTATAATAGTTAAGGGTATGGAGGTCGTAAAAGGTTTGTGATAGATACTACATGGAAAACAGCTATTTGAAATTAGGGAAATATATTTGGTTTAGTTTCAGAGTGTCTGGTGGCTCTGGAATGTTTGCTGTATTACTGCTGAATTTTTGAAAAATAGCCTGGAAATAAACTGGCCAACTTCTCCACGCGTTATATGAAGCGTCAACGCTGGAGTGTATACATGTTCTATATTTATGGATACCTAGAGAGCAGTGGCCTAACATGGGGACCTTTTTAAGAATTAGTTCAAAGTCAATTGGTGATGAACCTGAACGTTTCACAGCTGATATTTTGACATTCATGACTATGCGGGCCAACCAATAGCTTCACCGCTCCACACCAACAGATTATTTCTGGAATATGTGCGAATAGTGAACTTTCGATGCTGGGAAATATGCTGAACTGTTTTTTGAGTGTAAAAAATGGGTCGAAGGGAAAAATAAAGCCACTGCTTATATTGGTTCCCTGCGGAGCTAATCTGAAAAGCGAACCGCAAAATCTTGAGACAATATGTAACCACAAGAGCAACTTTTGAAAGTCCATGAAGTACCGCTCTGTACTCTAGATATGCTGCTGTATAATTTCTATTATTCAATGAGAATTTTAAGTGAGATCTGGCTGAAATGTAGAAAGATATGGTGATAGTTACAATTGTAAGAAGGTCCTATCTTGGTGCACTAATTTCGTATATCTGTTGAGCTTTCTTTTTTCCAGTGCTTATATGAAAGTGTTGTTCATATACCATTGTATCTTAAAGTACTTGAAGTATCTCATTTGCACAACGTTTTGGCTCCAAAACATTGATGACAAAATCGTCAAAATTCACTTAAATTTTTTGTGTCAAAATATTTTTGTGTCATCTCCGAACCTGACAAAAAAAAATTTCACTTCAAATTTTTCAAAAAAATTTCGCTAAGTCCTGAAACTTCATGTTGACTTTCCATTGCAAAACGTAGTCTAGAGCCATCACCTTTGCTTCTATTTTTAAGCTCTAAATTGTATTATGTCCCTAATATATGGGTATAATGACTCAGTCTGTTCGCTGTTGCATATACGCAGTGAAGAGTCTTATAGAGGCCAGTTGTCCATCTGAAGTGCCGAAGCAGTTTTGAATTTTCCATATGTAAACCCTTAAAAAGGGGCCAGAAACCCTATAACTACAGAGATAACCATGATAGAACTAATTGAGAAGCTGCGTATGACCTTATTAATTGTTTCTGAGTCTATTGGGTTCATTAGTGCTGGTTAAAGTCAACTTCTAAACGGTTGAAGAGATCACGTTTTATAGGCGTCAACAAATAGGTATTTATGACACAATTCGATGGGACAGTTCTTTCCCAAACGTACAATGCAGGTCCTCTAGAGTAACTACAAAATATATTATTCTTGCTCTTGGTAATCCGTTTGTAAAGTAAGATCAAAAAGCTCTTTTCTATTTGACAAAACTTCTGTGGGAATAATGCATATGTTTTGGAAAGGCAGCTCACTGAATTTATGGACCAATAATTGAATTTAAAAAGCCATTGAATCATTAATTATGCGTTTCCTATTCAATGCTAAATCTTGTAAAATATCAGTTATATAGTTGGTTTGCTCTTAATATCCAATTGTTTAATGGTCGATTGAACATCGAAGAAGAGTCGAAATTTCTTGCCGGGTTTTGCTCTTCAACCCATCCACTAGTAGACCAAAAAGATACACTATGACAATAAGAAATGCCTTAAAACTTTAAAGTATCAAAGAGAAATCTATGTCTGTCTGTAAATACCTGAAAATAAGCAGCTGAATCCAGATCACTATGTTTGATACGGGTCTCAGACCTGCTCATTAGATTGGTTCTCTGTTCAAGAACATGGCCGTTTTACACTCCCTCAATGCTCTTGGTAGCGAGATCAGTTTCACAAACACCCAATTACAACTTCTTGAACCTGAAATACTTCTACTTCTCGTGTTGTGACTGTATTAACTCGTATCAACACGTATGTGTCAAACTCGCGTCTATTCCATATTCTAATTGTGGCCTCTAACAAATATATTTGAAAAGTAAATGACAGAATATCCTCTACTGTGTGTATATAAGGTAATTCCGATGTTCTATTAATATACATATAATGTTACAATTAGTGGATTCTTGATTCTTCTTATAGTTGATGTGAAATGTTGAGTATTGATGAATTGTGCATAATTGGTTATTCTGGTTATGTAATACCTGACATTCCCCCCCTCATTTCTGAGTATTTATTGAATGTAATAATATTAAATATGATGAAACTTGATTTGGAACTATATTGTGTTGTCTTTTGTTAACCGGTGTTCAATTGGTTGTGATTGAATATGAAAGAATGAGTGAAGTACCTATAGATTTAAAAAGAAATGATTCTTGAATGGTGTGGAGGTTAATGTCTTTTGAATTTCAGGACCTGAGTATTTCTTGGTGAGAAAATCTGAGCAGTTTGAGATACCTGAAATATGATGGAATGTAACAATGTTATCTTCTTGTAGCTATTTAAGTTGTTTAAAA